CTCGCGCACCTGGCGGGCCATGTCTTGCTTGGCCCTCTGGAGGGCCTCTTCGAGATCCTTGATACGGAGCTTGGCGTCCTTCACTGCCAGCTCTCCACGCTCCTCAGCCTCAGCGATCTGAGCCTCCAAGTTGGCACGCTAAAATGACAATAACATACATGAAGTCACCTTCTTTACATTAACGGTATGCAAACCAATTATATATCAACCCTTGCTCATCATTACCTGTCCCTTGACGGCATCAATCTCGTTCTGCAGGCGGGCGATCATGCGGGTGAGTTCTGCAATCTCAGTCTTGGTTGAGCGGAGGTCCTCACCATACTGACCAGCAGAGGACTGCATCTCCTCAAACTGTAACATTTATTGACACAAATGAGCACTTGCGTAGCCACAGTTGAGGTGATCTTCAAAAAGTGAAGTTATAAGAGCTTGAACCACCTTCTGTTTGTACCAGCTCTCTGCTTCAGCACGGCTGCGGTTGGCAATGTCCTCATACTGAGCACGAACTTCAGCTACAATGGCATCCATGTCCAGGTTTCTGCTGTTGTCCATCTCTACAACAACTGATGTGTCCTTGATCTGAGACTGGAGCTCACGCAGTTCCTGCAAATGTAGACCAAACAATCAGTAAATTACCTACCCTTATAAAGCAGCAGTAGTCTATGCTAACAAGTTTTGGTTGGCCAAACACAACATAATTTAACTTACAGCCTCATAGACTGCCCTGAGGAAGTTGATCTCATCCTGAAGAGCATCAACCTTGGCCTCAAGCTCAACCTTGTTCATGTAGGCTGCATCAACATCCTAAAAGAAAATGAGAGGACATTATATCCTATTGCCTGTAAAAAAAAAAATGGAGTAATGGAGTAAAAATGGGAAGTCTTTAAAAGAAAAAGATAAATGTTCTTTACCTTCTTGAGCAGAACAAACTCATTCTCTACTGAAGCACGCTTGTTGATCTCATCTTCGTACCTGTTAAGAGAAAGGAAATGTGAGTAAATCTATTCTGTTTTCAGTGTTTTTTTCCCCCATCAGTTCGTTCAATTTCAAAATTACAACTCACTTGTTCTTGAAGTCCTCAACC